TTTGCTGCGAGTGGTTTTTTTGAGGCAGTAATAAGTGGGAAGGGGGGGTCATGCTGCCATTCCACAGCACACAATAGACCCAATCTTGGCTGCTTCCAATGTGATTGTTAGTCTGCAACATCTTGTTTCACGTGAAGCTGACCCCTTGGAATCACAGGTTCTCTTTCTGTCTCTCTGTCTCTCCCTCTCCCTCTCCCTCTCCTCTGCTTGTGTCATTTTATATCTCTCAAGTAACCCATCAAATCAAAATAGCCCAAGCAGTGCAGCTGTGTGGAAGTAAAAACTTGTATTGTTCTTGCAGCAGCCTTCTGGAATGGAACTTCCAATTATATGTCGTATCAGTATCTTTTTTATAAATGATTTATTTTAGTTCCTGTTATTCCTGTACCTTGGTTCTTCTTTACTTTTGAACTTTGATCTTCCTGACCCCTTTGTTTTGCACTACGCATATTTTATCGTTCCGTTGCAATAAAATCCTCTCTGTCCCATAAAATTTGAAGAGAAAATTCTATCCAGATCATTTTTGCTTTCAAATATAGAAAGTAATTAAATGTTTTCTTTTCCCTATGCTGTCACTCACTCATGGGTAAATGTTAACCTCTTACTTCATGTGCTTGTAATGGTGCTGTGATTACTTCATATACATTTAGTTATATGAAAGTATATCTTGCAGGTTGTTACCGTTGGAAAATTCCAAGGTGGTGGTGCATTCAATGTTATTCCAGATTCTGTTACAATTGGTGGCACGTTCAGGGCATTTTCAAAGGAAAGTTTTATCCAACTTAAACAAGGAATTGAAGAGGTATTCCTCCCTTTACTTTCGGCATCCTGACTGAGGGCTGAAGTCAAAAAAATACCCTTTGCTGTCTTTATTGATTTCGGTTACAATGTCACATTGTAAATGTTTATTCTTTATCTGAATTGCAGGTTAGCCAGTGTACAGAGGTGTAATGCAACAGTCCTGTTCAATGAAAAGGATAAGCCCTTTTACCCTGTGGCTGTTAACGACAAAAATCTGCACAAACAATTCCAAAATGTTGCAGGTGATTTGTTGGGCCCTCAGAACATATTGGAGGCAGCCCATGATGGGTGCAGAAGACTTCTCATTTTATCAAGAAGCAATTCCAGGATACTTCTTCTTTGTTGGTATGAAGAATGAGTCCCAAGGAAAGTTCCAATCAGGGCATTCACCGTTCTTTAGAGTAAATGAAGTGAAGACGTTCTTCCATATGGAGCAGCATTGCATGCATCATTGGCCACAAGATACCTCCTGGAAAATCAACCCAAATCTACTTTGCCGAAAGGGAGCTTTCATCATTGGCCGCATGGCTATACGATTTGAATAATCGAATACGGCTACGCTATTTAAGTATTCGAATATATTGAGCGTATAGCCGCACGGCTATACTATTTAAATAATCGAATATGTTTAGAGAGTATAGCCTATAGCCGCGTGGCGGAACTGTTTAAATATTTAAAGCGTATAGCCGCACGGCTATATTGTTTAAAACTTTACATGAAGATTCCATCAGAACTAGAAATAAGTGATGATAAAAAAACAAAACTAGTATCGTTCAAATGATCTAAACATCGTTTAATAACTAAACAAGTCAGCTTTAGATCACTCGAGGCAGCAACCATTGTAATAAAATAAAGACAAATCACCACCACAAACAACTAGGTGGTACTAACCACAATCATGCAGCAGGATCCAGTCAACGGACACATGATGTAGATGTTCTTTATGAAATTCATGCGTAGATTTAGGTGTTCAAAGTATGGGATTAGGTTTGGCAGCTCACTCAACAGTCGACATTGTCTAAAGATTGTTCGATACAACCACCAGACTTGAAAAGATTAATTTGTTACAATGTGCCAACCGTATGTATGTCAAGCTAACACCCTCTTTCAAGTGCAATTCCATTAGGCACGTGGAGAAGGACACAGAAGCATACATAGGGGGACATATAGGTATTGCCCAACCCTGCAGCTTGCAAATTAACAAATAAGCGCAGAAGGGGTAAGAGGCTTCAAACCCAGGATCTAAACCCTCAGGAAGTTTCTTGGTTTTTTTTCCATTGAATGAACCCCCCCTAATTTTTTTTTTTTTTTTTTTTTTTTTTTTTTTTTTGCCCTTTTCCGAAACAGCTAATGATTAGATAATTTATACCAAGGTGAGAAGTATGAGGCACACGATTTAAGGAAATACGAGAGAATGCAGAGAATTGCAACGAAACCATAAGGCTAGACATGTTGATAAATAAGAGGGCTTATAAGGAGTTGGGCTACTACCCCCCATTGCCAATTGGTTTTGGGATGGAACCTCAACTTCCTTCATGATATCATGCCTAACACATGGAGAACACATATTGGGTGACGTGGGGGCATGTGTGGCCGTTGGGCCTAACACATGAAGCTTTGCTCTGATACCATGAAGGAAGTTGGGGTTTTCTAACTTAATGTAGGACATTTTCGCCTTCACACTCTCACAGGTGAGTTCTTATCTTTTCAAAATTAGAGAAGAACGGGTACAAAGGAAGAGGGAGGATTTAATAATAAACTTAAAAATGGTTCGAAAAAGTTTTTGTCATTTATATAGAAAAAAAAAATATATATAAAAAATATGATGTACAAATTGATTTGTTAAGTTGTATAGTCTAAGAAAGTACTTAAAAGCTATAATCACGGACAACATGCCCCATTCACCACTCCAATCTTCATAAGATGAAGCTGCTCAAAAAAACCATCCCAGCGTTTCCTCAGAATTGCGTCAATGTCCTCGATTTTCTTCTTAGTATATTTCCTATAATGTTCATAGGTATTTCGCATAAACCTTAAAAGCTCCGACGGGCGACGATCATATGATTTACTCTCTTTAGACTCATATATATCACGCAATAACTTATCCCACAGATCTCTGTCTTTGTTCCAACCATAGAACGCTTGAAACTCACCCCCTATGATGTTCATCGTCTGGTTTATAATAGATATATCATTGTGATAAATACTTGTAACATATATCACCCTGTCACGAGGAGTCAATAGAAAGGGGTGGCTCTCCAATTTCTTAACATAGTCTTCATAGCTGAAAAAGGAAAAAAACAACACTCATAAACACAGAAATGACAACATATATTTCGCCAAAAAATAAAGTCCAAAATAACTCACCAAAAGTTTAATGTTGCAGCATCATCAAAACAATTAAGAAATCTGTCACGCTCAGGCCATTGTTCAAAACTAGGTGCCAGCAGCGTCTTCAGAGTGTCCCTGAACTCTTGGAAATCTTGGATTTTCCTTGAATGTTGATCATGTAGGCTCTCCAAACAACCGCCAATGTTAAATAGTTTCAGTTGGTCCCCAACAACAACATAATTATTATATCCCGCCAACGAACCATGGAAGAGCCCACAATCATGAATCTGAGCAATTGCCTTTATTAATTCTCTGCCAAATCATGAAATACATTAGTTAACTAAACCATAAATTAATAGCACTATAACAAAAATACTATTACGCTCACCGTATTGTACGACTCCAGAAATCAGATAGGCAATTACTTCCAACAATCAATTTGCACTTTCCAGGATCTCTAATTTCATGGTTTTTTAATTTGAGTACCCATTCATCTAGTGTGTAATCAAACTTGTCATAACACAAGGTCCAACAACCCTTCATCATATCCCTTTCGGCCTCACTGCATTCATCATCGAATGATTTCTGTTTGCAAAATGTATACTTAAATGAGCGAAGAATCCTTTTATTAGATACTTTGCCATCCAACCTAAAAATTTCTTCCACACTCAATTTAGTTCCATCCTTAGCATCCATATTCATAAATTTCACAGGTATTCCACCTTGTTTATTTTCCTTGAAGAACAACTCACCATCATAATGTTGTTTCCCGCTAGCATAATCAATAACAAAATTATAAAAGCTAATACGAGAACCCATGACGGTGTATTTTGAATTATTCTTGCGCCATTGAGTTCTAATGTAGTCAATGTAACCGTCGTCAATTAGATCATGATCAACTTCCATTTCCTGAAAATTTAAGATTAAAAATTAGATTATTTGATTTTAGTGCTCATATAAAAAGAAAAATATTACCTAAACACTAAGCATGTCATTAATAATGATAATTGATATTGGACACTACTAATTCATGGAGCATAGACCAAAAAAGAGCGCCCACGAAAACTTCTCATAGAGCTGAATTAAGTCTGACCTTTCCTATATATGAAAACAAATTTTACACAAAAACCTCCATGTTCAAAACAAAAGAAAACAAAAATTATGTTATAAATGAGAAAACATAAGCTAACCTTTGATTGTCGTTGACAATGAGGCAAAAACGTACGAGATATGTGGAGTGGTCCAATAACACCACCTTTGATTAACGAGAGTGAAGCCAAAGAAGATGCTGAGTGAAAGAAAGAGATATCCAAGAGGGAGGGAGAGAAGAAGGTAAATTATATAGGAGTTTGAACTAAACCACTTACTCAATTGGCCCTAAAGCCCAATCTCGCAAAAAGAGTAACAAACCCAAAAAATCATAAAAAGGGTAACAATTAAACAAACAGGTATCATTGCCTTGCCTTTGTAGGAATTTGAAAACGGGAAACTAAATAGAATAAAGAGATCAACGCATAGAGCTGTAGAAATTTTGAAAAAGAGAAACTAAAGCTGTCAATACATTGCCAAAAATTTCTCGACTGAATTACATCTTCTTATGAGAAGCAACAAAGATTGAGAATCATGATTGGTGATGGGCCTCCACTCTCTCCTAAATACGAAGATAAAAGTCCATTAAATTAATGGGATATCTAATGGTAAGTTTCCTGTTTCTTCCTTTAATAACAAAAAAACAAAAACAAAAATAAAACAAAAAAATAAAAAATAAAAAATAGTAAGTTTCCTATTTCTAGTGGGTTTAGGCTTACTTTTTTTACGTTTCTAGGAAGATTTTTTTTTTTGGGTCTGATGTTTCTAGGAAGATTAATTAGGTCGTTATATGAGTAGATGCTTTGCAATTCAGCCTTTACGGATATTAATGAAAGCATCTGCTCTTCCATCTTTATATTTCTACAATTTTCAGTGATTTCGAAACTTTCATATCATACCCAACAAAACCCCTTCGGCCGCGGCATCCCCAAACCCTAAATTCCCTTTGGCCTCTCAATTGAACCATTCCAATAGCAAAGGCCCTATCATGGGAGATCGGTATACATCTCAATTTTCCACCGCCGCCGCCGAGCTTACCTCAGGCCAAGGCCATGACTTGACGATGGCTTCACGCCAAGATGACCTACTGGGCAAGATATCAGAGATGGAGAAATCTATGGACAAGTTACCGGAGATGGAGAAAATTCTGGGCCAACTGTTCGATTTGATGAAATCAATAACGCAGGAGCTTCGCTTACAAGGCCCCAGTCCAGCCATAACGACGACGCCACTTCCACCTTCCACGGTGATGGAGTACCGCAATCCTAACCATGAGGCTCATGATCTTTACCAAAGGTCAGTTCTTAATTCTCATTGTTGTTGTTGTTTTTTTATTTTTTGTTTAGTTTATGAGAGAATTTTGCTTAAGTTTTCTCTCGCTGCGGCAGGCATTTTGAATAATTTGCTTGAAATATATAATAACCAGTTTCTACTAGATAAATTCTCACTAGGCAGGGTAGGTCTTTAAAAAGAGCTTAGCTTGACTTGTTGTATACATCTCTCTTCTCTGTCCAGCTTGCCCGATGATTGGGAGCATGCGTCAATGACGGTAAATCAAGGGGAAGCTAGATCTATATGTTTACTCGTGTCATCTTACGGGGACGGGATTTACACTAATGCAGTCTATGAAGTGAAATTCAAACACGGAGGAGAAGTCCCGGTAATTAGACATGTTGCCAAGTTCCGAGAGGGTTATTGCCCTCAGGTTGCAAGGGTTTTCAACCACTCCAATTTATACTACTTTGGCGACGACGGTGGATTTATTGTTGACATGGAGACTTGGTCAAAATATTCATCTATGCCTCCTATCCCAGCCCCTAATAATTCACAAGAAACTATTGTGTATGCGTACGACAAGGTTTATTATCTTGCACGTCGATCAAGCCTCCAACCAGTTACGGAGCCCTCCTTCGGGCGATATGATCCTAATCAGAAGGTTTGGGAGCAAATGACTCCTTTTCCATTTTATGATGATTATGACCGCCATATGCGAATAACTGGTTATGCTGTTTGTCATGGCGTTATTTTGTTTTCATTGTGTGGCTTGATAAACGGGGATTTTTGCATCGTTGCTTTTAACGTGGGTAGAATGGATTGGAATCGGGTGAAATTTGACACTTCTGCTTGCCGTGCTCCTCCGTTCCAAGGGAGGGTTGTGGTTGTAGGCAAGATTATCTATGCCTTATACGGGGAGGCAGAGATTATAGCATTCTCCTTTAAGATGGAGAAAGGCGGTGATGATGATATTGCATATTCCCTAAGCCAACTTTTTATATTGCAATGCCTTGAGTTCGCTCGTCCGCTAATGCCATGGTTTGACGATTTGACACAGTGTTTGGTTCATTTGGGGAACCATGACTTTTTCTATGTCCAGACTGGCTGGTGTGATTCACATCTCAAGGTTCAATATCTTAGTACCACCACGTTTCAAATTATTGTTGGAGAAGGAGGAGGACATATGATCAAGATCATACATTCAACTGTTCATTCTGTGGATATCAAGGGCTCTGAATGGTTCGATCTTGTTTTATGCTTCACACCGTAAGTGTCCCTCACGTTTATTGTGTTTTTATCAATAAGATTTAATTTGTACATTGAAAATTTGTTGCATCTCATATGTAACAATGTTTCTCATTCTTATGACTCAGTGAGTGCGAGGATTATGAACACATAGAAGAGGAGAGTATGGCTAGTATTAGTCAGCCAAGACAAGAAATAACCGCCATGAAGCTGGAAACAGAAGCCATGCTGCATGAAGAAGCGAATGATGATGCGATAATCGGATATTAGAAATTGTGAAATATGAAAATTCAAAAGCATTGGATAGCCACCCACCTAGAAGAAAAAAGTTCCTATAACTTAGTTTAGGTCATTTTAATTTGTCTTTGTTGACTTCCGTTTATTTTAATTTTATGTTTATTATAAGTTTGGCTTCATTCTTCCGAAAGTAAGATGGAAACTGTGGTACTGTGCTAATCTTTTATGGATTAGTTTTCCTCAAGCTGTGACCTGGTTCTATTTTTGCTCATTTCTTTTTTTTTTTTTTTTTTTTTTGGTGGTACAATAATCTTTATCCTTTATGTATCATAACTATATGAAGTTTCTCTCATCTCATGGAATGGTCAACGTTGTTCTGGATGTTTAGATCGGAATTGCTTTTGTTGGATCGGACCTATAGTCCAGATATTATTTTTATTATGGAAACCAAATTGTCCTCAAGATCTTTCGATGTTAAATTTACTACTTTTGGTTTTAATAGGTTTATAGAGATTCCACCTGATGGTGTGGCTGGTCGAATGATTCTAACTTCGGATGACAATAATGTTCAAGTTGGTATTCACTACATGAATGATCGTTTCTTGTTACCTTCTGTGTTTGATTCTGGGATTGGATAGACCTTTTTTTGTTTGTTGGCTTTATATGTTTCCTCAAAAAGATGAACAAAGTCTTATTTGGAACATTTTATTGGTACACCTTTATTCGTGTAGTGTATGTGAGTTTAGTATGTTATCGCCCCTCTCAATAGGAAAGGTCCCGAAGAAAACAAAACATCCTTTCTTACATGAAAAATTAGGCGGATCTAATGTTGTCACTAGATACATGTTGAACTTTCAAGACTTTATTCACTCTGCCGGACTCATTGAAGTAGCTTCGAAAGGTAATTCTTTTACCTGGACTAGTAATCAACAACTGGAAAACCATATTGATCGAGCTTTCTGCTCGCAGGATTTTCTTAGAATGTACACTATTGCTTTCTTGATGTCCTTCCCATTTGTGGTACGGACCATAGTCCTCATTCTCTGCGAGAATGTTTTTGTTTTTGTTTTTTTGTTTTTTTGTTTTTTGTTTTAAAAATTATATAAATTATTATTTTAAAGAAATATTCATACTACATATGAATTATTTATTAATGTGGCTTTTCTTTATTTAATATTTATTATGAAGACTTAAAAGTTATAAAATCTTAAGCCTAGTATGAGATTACCTTTAGGTGAAAGATGGCCATTCTTGTTTTCTATGTATATAGGCTTGGAATTGGGTTTTAATCAAATCATCATTGACATGTCACCTTGCATACTAGTAACAAGTGGTGTTGTGATATCATTGGCCAAAAGGAGATGAGTCTCATTATTCCCTTACTTTTCTATCCTAGTTTTTGGTGGTGGTGTTGTGATATCATTGGCCAAAGTGGAATGTGGAATGAGTCACATTATTCATTCACTTTTCTATCTTATTATTTGTTTGCATCCGTAGCCTCTCTTATAAGTATCATCCATCCTTACTTCAATCATTCATTCCAATTCTTTAGAATAGATGTCTACCATGAAGTAGTGCTTGAGAGAGAGAGAGAGAGAGAGAGAGAGAGAGAGAGAGGAGGAAGAACAAGAAACAAGATGAAGAACGTGTGTGTTTGTCTTGCAATATTTCATACTTATCATGGTGAGTGGGGTATGTAATGTGTTCTAAAAGTTCTTATTTTGTGAGAAATGTGAAAATCATGGATTCATTCTATTTACAAATCTCTCTCTATTTTCAAGTCAAGCCTATCTAATCTGTGCAATATTTCATCCAATATTTATTATTTGGAGTTTTTATGAATAACGTATTATTCATGGAAAATGAGAACTTCAGTGTCAAGGTATCCGAAGGACAAATGTACCAGAAGGGGAAATAGGGCAGTGAGGCCAATAGGTGTCACGAGCTGGGTCCAATTTGTGAAGGATAACCAAGATATGAAGTAATGTTGTAAAATGATTTGGATTGTGTATCTTTTTATGATATTTTCTTTGAAAAATTAGTATTAGACATAACTATCTTTTACTAATTAGTATTTGAGACAAACCATATTTTTGTTTGGGTTTTAATACCTAGGAATGAAAATTTGTTTTGGAATTGGCCAAAGAGGAGGCTTAGATTCGTTGGCTCTCTTTATAGTAATCACTGAAAAGACAATTATACCCTTATGTTTAGAAGCCTGACTCAAATTTGTTGGTTTCCCTTTTTGATCAGATCAGATCAGATCTCTATCTTTCTCTCTCTGTCCCTCTGTCTCTTTGTCTCTATCTCTGTCTCTGTCTCTGTCTCTCTCTCTCTCTCTCTCTATGTGCAGCAACGACAACCACAGCCTTCACATGCGAAGGAATTCTCAAGCTGCTTGACTCGCGGCTCATCCTTTCAGCCTTCACCGGCAACTCCAAGGTCTTCTAGCTTAAGATAAAGGGTGATTATGATCGCTATTTTGCTGAGTTCAAGATTGGCGCTGAGTCAACCTTATTTGATCTCATTTTGGTTCATCAAAACCCTATCTGAACCCTAATAACGATTTGCTTCTTGTTGTGATTGTTGTGTTTTAGTATAGGGTTTCGAAAATTGGGGCTGGGATTAGGTTAGGTTTTCCGAATTAGATGTTTCCTATGATGATTTGATTGTTGATGCTACGATTAAATTCATTTAGCATTCTGTTATGCTTGTTTAGAAATTACAGTAATTGAATTGGTTTTTTGTGTGCGGGTATGTGGAAAATTTGGGGTTGTAATAGATTTTGAAGATTTTTATTCAAAAGAAAGGAACTTAGATATGGAGTTTGGGTGGATTTATATTCGATTTGAGTATGATTGATTGTATTTGTCCGTAATATTTGGTATGGGGGTATGTGGGTTAAATTTATTTATTTTTCTCTATGTCTATGTTTTTCGTTTTTGCTTGCTGGCTTGCATCATTATATTTCTTTATTTTTCAGTAGGGGTGGATCTACATTAGCCTTGCAAATTACCCACCAAATGCTTGATTAAATGCCTCGATGAAGTTGAGCAGTGCAACAAGAGCACAAAACGTTTAATCAAATGCTTCATTAAAAATAATTTGTTAGATGGTCCTACTTGATGACTTCAATAGCCTGATTAACTAGTTTCATACACTAATTGTTTTTTATTTTTTTTAATGGAATATCATATGCAGCTTTGAAGGGCAGGCTATGGCAGCTTTGAAGCGATGCGAGGAAAAAGATGTGTATTGCGGTTTGGGTCAAAAGGACCCCATCTTATAGAGGCATGATTTATTGGGATTGGGTATGATGATTGATTGTGTTTGTTTGTAGTTATTTGGATATGATGTTGCGGTTGCAGCTGCAAATTCATTACACCTTGAGTTCTATATATGGAAAAAGTGTGGGGAATTGCCAGAGAGGTATTCTGCTCTTCAAAATCCTTTTTTAAAAAAAAAATATTAGTCTGTACTCTTATAGTATGTAGGTAACTATTGACTTGTTTCTTATTTTACGGAGTTGCTTCCTATTGCTGCAGCATTTCTTTTCATAAGGGAAGAATAGAAAATTGTCTAATATGAACTGTAATCATAGATACTTGTTGGACCATTGAATTCATGTATGTTGTAACATTCTGTCCCGAAATTTAATTTAATTTTCAAAATTCTAAAGTGAAAGGACGACTTTAATCTTAGGGTTATTTGGTATGTGAGAGTTTGTGATCAAATATATATATGCATGTATGTCAGGCAATGATCTAATTTAGCTGCGACTTCTTATTATAAAGCTCACTTACTATGCATTTGTCTTGATTTGGAAATGGATGATGCCATCACTGTCATATGATATTTTGCAATACTATTTAATCTTTAATTCAGTGAAATTTTATATAGGTTTTGCATTGTAGTTTTGCACAAACTACATTGCAGTTTTGGTAATTATAATTGGAATTTTGCTCTTTCCTTGGCCTTCAACCTCACTAATTTGAAGAGTAGAGGCTACCTAGATGAGGAATTGGGTGGGCAAGATAAGAGTAGAACTACTCAAGAGCAAGGCAACTCAAAATTGGACATTGCCCAATATGAAGCTCTTCTCAAAGGTGGAGACCAAGTCACTTATGTTCTTGCAATATTTCATACTTATCATGTTGAGTGGTTTATGTAATGTGATCTAAAAGTTATTATTTTGTGATAAATGTGAAAATCATGGATTTATTCTATTTACAAATCTCTCTCTATTTTCAAGTCAATCATATCTAATTTGTGCAATATTTCACCCAATATATATTATTTGGAGTTTTTGTGAAGTACGTACACTACTACAAAAAGTGACAAAGACGACCAGAAAAAAACGACGGTCTAAGTGAAAACCGTCTTCGTTTTTTAAAAGACGACGGTTCTATAAAACCGCCGTGTAATAACACCTTAGACACCTAAAAAATGGAGATTCAAATGGTTGTTCATAAACAACGACGTACCTAATTAAAAAACCGACGTCTATTTGAAACAGGATTTCCGCAGTGTAAAATCAAAGCAAATAAAGAACGGCAGAAGTTATGAATCGACCGACGTAGAAAGTAAAGACGACGATTTCAAAAAAAGCCGCCGTTTTTATGCAGAAAATAACACGACCAAGTTTTCGTATAAGGCGCCATATAATTACAAATAAATCCACGGCGGTAAAATACAAAATATCGCCGTATTAAATTAATGTACAACGACGGAAAATAAAAATATATCGACGTCTTTCTTGTATAGTTCTACGACGGTATCTTTAAATCTCACCACGTTTGTTTTTCATTTAACGACGTATTATAAAATTTAACGTCGTATTTATTTCCTTTATACGTCATACCTTATATTTAAACCGTCGTCTTAATACGAATTTTTTTTTATCAATTTATTTCTTTGATTTTGTTATCATACGTCATACTATATGTAAAGATGACGTTTTTTATATAAATAAAAAAAACGTCGTCTATTATATGTAAAGATGACATTTTTTATAAAAACCGTCGTCTATTATATGTAAAGATGACTATTTTATAAAACCGTCGTCTATTATATGTAAAGACGACGATTTT